CGATTATGTGCCAATGAACATTTGATTTGTACGACGAATACTTATGATTGAATAGTGAAAAAAAACAATCCAAAACCAAAATAGAAATTGTCTCTTTTTTGGTGTTTAGTAGTTACATCCATTGTATTCAGTTGTTGTTGTTGTTGTTGTTTTTCTCCTAATCAAATGGAATGTCCCATTCTTCTTTCAGAATCGGTATTTATACTCCAAAACCGAAAATGTTTAGGGCTACCGGTACTTTGGATACAATGATGATGATGATGATAATAATAAACAAAATTGAATGAACGATTGATGACATAAAAAAGGCAATTTTCAGCATACACTTTTGTTTCAGTAATAATAATAATAATAATAATAGGAAAGTCACGCCAAAATTATTATCGTCGTCGTCCAAACAAACATTTGGTTGGCCATTTTTATATAAAATTGGAATACCATCAAACAATTTTTCCATTCGGAAAAAAAATAAACGATAAAAGACAAATGGATAGTTTGTTGAGTGAACACTAAAACAGGAGAAAAAATTCTTTCAAATTGACAGTAGCAGAATACCAGCCTGAAACAACCTGATCACATTTTGGTGACAAAATGATTGATACAAAGTTCAATTAATTAATGAAAAGTCTTTGAAATTGAAAAAAACGACTATAAGTTCAATACCCACCAAGTTTACGATTAACCGAACGATTGATTAACAATCATACAACACAATGGATGATTTTTTTCTTCTGAAATTTCGTTATCCCATCTACTATATTATCATCTGTCAACACCAACATCAAAAAGAAAAAAAATAACAAATTACTGATTCCACTGTCAAATCATTCATTCAAAATAATAATTTACCGTTTAAAATGATGAATATTAAAAGTAATGGATGAATAACTTGTCACCTGAATTTTATTCGTTGTCATCATCATCATCTGTCATTGCAAAAATTTTCTTATCCATTTTTTTTAAAGATAAATTTACAAATGGATAAATCACACTGAAACAAAATTTTCCCGCCGAACCATAGTCAATCAGTCGGATCGATAAAAAAAAAATTGATGGATTGATGATTGGAAATAAAAATTTCAAGGAAGAGGATTAGATGACATTGAATATGAAAAAAAAAGAAAGACCTTGATTTTCATCTTTCATCATCATTTTTATCGACCATGTTTGCAATTAATAATGATAAATAATAACAGTTCACTGTTTATATGGGGTAGTTTTTAGCATCAACAACACTTAAATTGAATGAATCCAAACGGAAATTGAGTTTTTTCCTTTTCAATCTCTTTATCATAGGTTTTTTTTTGCATTTCGGGTATTGAGGTTTATGTTTGTTTCCTAAAAAAATGCCCACATTCATTTTTGTTTCCAAAAACAAGACCGGAAATGTAAGTTTGTGTTGGTGCCTGTGTGCGGGTAAAAAGAAAAGATCATTAGTTATAACGGTATGTGGTTATATGGTTCGTATGTGTCGAATTGTTGTTGTTGTTGTTATGGTCTTGTTATAATTGATTTACCGTAATTTTTTCTTTTCATTATTTATTTCAGATCCAATAATTTCGTTTGATTTCTGGTTCATTGAACGAAATTAATAATGAAGAATTTTTCGTTTTGTTTTGTTTTGTATGTTTGATTAAATAAAATTTTCGTAGATTCAATCAATCACAATTGAAATTGATCTATATTCTTTAACCAAACTAAAGAAAATTGATTCGCATTCGATTTTTTTGGATTTAACGATTTTTACAAAACAAACAAACAAACAGACAAGATCGAATACGAAGAAAATTCGTTTCGATGTATACAATCCTCATTATGGAGATAAATTAAAAGTAGTGGTATAGAATTTAGGCAAAATAGGAGGTACTTAATCGGAAATCAAATTGAAAGTAAGAAGCAAACAAATATGATAACAAAGGATTCTTGGTGGTTTTTCATTTGTTTATTTGTGTGGTTTGTTGGATCACTATTTCAAATACTACTATCATTCATCGAAACAGAAAAAAAATTCAATTTTTTTCTTTCGAAACTTGCTTTTCTTGTTCCATTACAAAACAAGAGAGAAAGAAAGAGGATCCACCACTATTGTTAACCGCTACTGATATGTACAGTGTCTGTGTGTTCTGATCTATTCATCACGATCCATTCACATTTTCATTCGGTGTTAACTTTCCTTCCTGAATGGATGGTTGTTTTTTTTCTTCGTTTTTGTCATTTTCAAATTGAGAATTCGGTTTTTCTCCCGTTCGGTTTTTCAATTGTGTTTGGTTTTGATTTAAAAAAAAATTCGCGCCTAAGCCACAACTATCTATGTATCATCTAAATGTGTGTGTCTGTGTGTCGATGTGATTAGTGATTATAATGATTATTTTTTTTAAATCATCAATTCTAATGATAAAAATTCGTGCTATTTGTATGGTTATGGTGTATTTTTATCAAAAATAAATAAATATTCTCTGTAAACATCATTGTAATATCAAATCAAGAAAAAAAAATATTGAACCAACAAATCAAATGTAAGTTGTTTCGTGTCCTAACCATCGTATTCAATCAATCAGTTGTTTTTTATTCTGTATAAGTTAAATTCGATGAAATTGAAGAAAATTTGATCCATTTGATTTTATCGGAATTATTCTTTCTTTTTTTTCTCTCTCTCACACACATTCATTCATTCATTCATTCTAATTTAATTCTGATTATATTAATTTTCGAACAGAATCCTATTTCATTAGTTGTGTTGTGTGTATTTTCCTAAATTCATTTTCTTTATTAATTTTTTTTTTTGCTTCTTGGTTCATTCATTAATTTACATTTCGGAATAATGTTTTTTTTAGACTTTTATTCGGTGTTGACTCTTGACAATAATATTTAAATATATTATGTCTTTGAACATCCAAAAACATCATATGCATTACAATCATAACCTTAATATGATGATAATGATGTGATTCATTCGTTCGGTAATTTTAGGATTTTTTTTGTTGCTGGAATTTGAAATTAGAAATTCTTTTCTTCTTCTTCTTCTTCATTATATTCGTATCTTAATGTTCCATTCAAAATGAAAAGATGATGAAAAGAATAATGAATGCATCAAAGAAAGAAAACTATAGTCTAATTCTATCTCATGAGAAATGTTAATTTTTGTTTTCATTATATTTTAGATGTTTTGATTTGAATTTGTCAAATCATTAATTTGTATGTATGTGAAAAAAAACTTGATGATATAATACAATTTCATTTAATATTGTTCAGTTTTTCTAAGCAATTTTCTTTCTGGACATTTTTTTCCTAGATTTAATAATTCCACCAATCTTTTATTATTATTTCAATGTTCATAAATATTATGATTTTTTTGTTTGTTTGTTTGTTTCTGGATGAATTCATTTTGAACCAAAAAAAAAAGAAGAAAACTTTCAAAGAATTCTGATCTAAATAGCCATGGTTATTTTTGTTGTCAAAATATAGAATTTTCATTTTCCCTTTCTCACCCTCGTTATTTCGTTTGACACCAAAGATTGTATTAGTCTATTGTATTTGAACTTTTTCGTTTTGTTTTGTTTTGTTTTGTCACAATACAATGTGACCTGTCATTGCAAGATGTGTCATCATATTGCTGGATTCTGGAAATTTTTACTGGTTTTGTTTTTGTTTGAATTGGAAAAAAAGAAATGTAATAGAATTCAATTTCTTTTCATCTAAACACAATGGAACAAATACAAGAACTAGCCAATCATAATGATTAGAATCAGAATCAGTTGCATTTTCTTAAACAAAAATAAACTGAAAGAAAGCACAGTTCTGTTCATTCTTCGTGATTAAAAATGCAATTTTTTTTTCTTACATTGAAATTAAATTGAATGAAAATCAAAAATTCTTCAATTTTGTTGACATCCATTTCAAATTTTACAAGATTCAATATGAAAGGGGCTGAAGCTTTGAAAAGAATCAAAATGTTTTCATTTCCGTCGTAAAGCCAAGTTGATACATCATACACCAACAACACACCCTTATATTGTTATTTTCATTCTAATAATTTTTTGTTTTTGTCCATCGTAATGAATGAATGAATGAGTGACCATCGTATTGTGAATGAATGATTGAAAAAAACGTGACTTATATAATCATAAGTTTGTTTTCTTGTTGTTCAAATGAAAAGAAAAATTTCATATAAACAACAAGCAATGATAATAAAACCAAGGCGCGCAAACCAATCAAAACAAAACAAAAACAACCAAACAATTTGATTTAAAGATTTTTTTTTGATTTTGATTTTTTGATTTCAAAAATTACGACAATAACAAAAAACAACAACGGCAGCTGCTATTTTGGGTTAAATTTTTTTCGTTTGTTTGTTTGCATCAATGATTGTTGCTTTTATCCATTTCATTTGATTTGATTTGATGATAATGATGATAAGTAATAATGATTGTCGCTACTTATTTGATGGATTTAAAAGATTTTGATTGGATATTTTTTTTGCTATATGTAGGCGGTTACAAATGAAAAGTGAAAATCATTTGGATTTTGAATTTTTTCCCATTATTTCGTCGATAAAATGATGACAAATATTGGTTTTTAACCATGTCAGAGTGAGTTGATAATGATAATAAATCCTAAATAAAATGGGACAGTAGTTGTTGTTATTTTGTCAAATATTCAAATGTGCTTTTATTTTGGGTGAATCATTCAATGATTTTGTTTGAGGAGAAATTTCATAACAAACTTTGTTTTTTGTTGATAACTTTTTACCAAAATAATCATTTATTTCATTTACATCTTCTGTATGATTAATTGAAAATTCATTCTAAATATTTTTAATTTCCATTTTTGTTTTTACTTTTAGATTTCTATTGATTTCTGCAAAGCCATCACCATCATAATCATCATTCATATTTCATGATAATTAAATGGATTGCAATATCGAAACATCGTCACTTAAATATTAGTGAATTTTTTCTTCATCAGCAAACAAAAATTTGGAAAAATTCGTCGCGAAAACAAAATTGTATTCCATCAGATTTTCAATTTTGATGCGTGTTTGTGTATGTTCTTATTGTTGATATTGCTATATTGTAATCCGATCATTTTAACACTTGACAAAAGTGAAAACAAAATTTAAATTCAACCAAAAACAACCGAATGACATTTTGTTTTGAAAACAAAACAAAACAAACGGAAAAAAATAATGACAACTGTTGAAAGCCATCAAATTTAACGTTACTTCTTCTTATTCTTTGTGGTTTTTTTTCGTTGTTAAAAAGTTCTTGTTGTTGATGTGTGATTCTGTCTTGTGTGTTTGTGTAATGTGTTTGAATTTATGATATCATTCATCGTATATCACATCAAATATCAAATTGGACATTGAATGTAAGTTTGATAGATTTTAAAAATTTTTTGTTTTATTTTTAAAAACAGAGTTTTTTTTTGCTTTTTATATAAACAACGAATAAATCACCACATCATCATCATCATCACTACCGCCATTATCGATGGATTCTTTTTTCGTTTTGTTTTGTTTTTCTCACTCTCTTTTTTTTCTCTCGATGTTTTTCAAAATACCATATAGCTTATTCTTGAATAAATATTTACATTATCGAAAAAAAAAATTTCGTATACAAATTTTCAATGAAGAATTTTTTCATTCATCGTATAGGATGAATAGAATGTTGTGGGGAAAAACGATGGATAGTTTAGTTTGGATTTATTTTTGTTTTCTTTCATCGTTGAAACCAATCGAAAAGAATCTGTATTTTGTTTCCATAGTGGTGGTTACATCATCAGCGTTTTAGCATCGGAAAAAAAGCTTTCACTGGCCTTAATTCCATGTTTTTTTTTGCTGAGCTGATGATGAAAAAAAAGCCAAAATGGTTTCATTATTGTATATTGGTTGACATTCTATTCATTGAATGCTAAGAATTTTTTCAATTCTATTCTTATACATAAAGAAAGCTTTCTATCTCTTTTTTTTGTACAAATTCTTATATCGAAATAAATGATTGCTTCCTGAAAATAAACAAAATTTTTTTGATTTAATTTAATTCAGTTTTATAACAACAACAACAACAAGAAAGAAGCTGAAGAAAAATTAAATATTCTCAAACATTATTAGTGTTGATTGAACAAAAAAACAACCAAGACCGAATAGATTGGTGAAAGATAGCAAAAGATGCCGATAGCTAAAGAAAATGATTGAATAAAATTGAATAAACTCTTGATGCATTTTTGTAGTGTTTGTGTGTGTGAATTTATCGAAATTTTTTTGAAATTTTTTAAAAACATCAATGATCCTCAGTGTTTTTTTTTGCTATTTCTTTTACTTGGAACTTTTGTCGAAAATATCCAGGCTTATTTTTGTTGTTGTTGCTTGTTACATCGCACTGTTGTACCATACACTTTTTCATCATCAGTATTTTCTTTTTCATTTGCTTTTCTTATTCGGTCATAATGTTGTTGTGTATTCATCACCATGCTTCTTTGATTTTTTTGTTGTTGTTATTGTAAATTTAATATTTTTTTTTTCCTTTTTTAAAATTGAATAAACATAAAATTTGGCTACTTTGGCTGCTGTTCAAAAAAAAGGAAAGAAAGATGAAATCACTATGATGATGTGCAAGTAATAAGATTGAACTGAAAAAAAATTGAAATCATTTTTGAAGTTTGTTAGTTTTTTTTCATTTGAAATAAAAAAAAATCCAAATCACTAACAAGATTTTCAGTGGTAAGATATATTTTTGGCTATATTATAATCTCTATCTTTTCTTTTTCTTTTTTCGGTGAAATCCTGTTCAATATTTTTGTTGTTGTGGTTGTCAATGTTTTTTTTTTGATGTTGACATTATACCTATGCCTATGGTAATTTATATATCGATAGCCGGCAATTTCTATTTCATTTTCCATCAACGAACAACACATATCAACAAATATAATCTCCTGGATTTTTATATATGTATGTGAATCTGTTTCTGTATGTCTTCTTCATCATCTTTTTTTAAACAGATATCGTCAATCATTGATCATCAAATTGCATATATATGATGATAATGAGTGTCGTAACAAGATTTAATCAACAACATTCACATTTTTTTTTTTGATTAAAGACGAATATTATCACAAACACACACACACACACAAATAGATGTTAATTAATAATGTACATTATCATCGCTGTTTTTTTTTCTCTTGACTTTTTTTTGCGTTGATTGATTGACTAAATATATTCGGTATCTTTCTATGTTTTTTTATTTTCTCACTCATCTTTTACACTAATGAAAGATCCTTTCTTTTTGATCATCATTCCTTTTGATTATGTAAAAGAAGGTTCATCATTAAGGTCATATCATATCATTCGGTTTCACAAATGGTTACATTTATTCATTGAACAACATGTGTGTGTGAGCGTTTTAATTGGTCAATTATTATCGCCTCGCTACGAATGTTTTTTTTATTTTGTCAATCCGATCCACTTTGTTCATTGCTTTGATCATCATCTTCAGAAAATGCGTTTATTTTCTTATCATATGGGAATCGATATCAAAATCAAAAAAATAAACTTTTTTTGTTGGCATTTTGATCATCAAATTTCGACCAGGTGACCTATGATGTTTATTATTTGAATTGAAAACAACAACAATCTGATCTTATTTGATGATGATGAAATTGAATGTGTTGATGATAATGATCAATATATACCATTTCACAGACATAGGCCAAATCGAGTAAAAAAACATTTTCTAATCTTGTCGCATCCTACACTTGAAATGATTATAATTTCTGATAATGATGATGATGATCTTTTTGAAAGTTTCATTTACCTTTTTTTCTTCTCAGACTTTTTTATTATTATTATTATCATTATTTGTTCATTTTATCTAAATCCTTTGTATTAATTGTTTAAGTTTTTTGTTGTTGTGGTTGTTTGATTAAACTTTTATTCGTTCGTTTTTGCCTTTTAATTTTATTTGTTTTTTGGAATCGATATCATCATTTGCCATCTGTCATTTTCTGTTGTTGTTGTTTGTTTTTTCTTTAATATATTCATTTGGATTTAACGTCATTTGATGTACAAATACAAAAATCAGAATATTGTTTCGTATCTATTCTGTTGATGATGTTTTATTTTACTTATCTTCAATCTTCTTCTTTTTTCATTTAGAATAATAATTGCTCATTCAAAATGGATGTTCATTGGAATTTGTTTTTTATTTAGATTTAATTTGATCGATAATGAATTGAATATATAAAACTTTGAATTAAGAGTTTTTGTGCCACCAGCAACAACAATAAAAGCACCGACGACGAAGACGACGTCGACGACATTGATGATTAACGATAAACATGTGGTATTTCGATGAAAAAAAAAGGTGGTCAACGATAAATAATGATAAGATATAATAACAATAATCATAAAAAAAACGAAATTCTTTTTATCTTTTTTGTGTATATAAAGATGAATCAGTCAAAATGATCTAATCTGATTTATTTCACATTTTTTAGAAAAAAATCATTTTAAAATCCATACACAAATATCTATAGATTAATTTACAATCATTTCGACACGTTTGATTTTGTTTTTTATTTCTTGTCATTTAATTCGTTGATTTCCATTACTTTGGCCATTGATATATCTTATTTACCAAAAAAAATTTGCCAGATGTTAAGTTACATTTTTCATCCATTTTTTCGAAAAACATATAATTAAATGATTTTGATATTCAATGACATTTCATTGTTGTTTAAATTTGTTGTCCAAAAAAACAGCAAAATTTCATTTTCATTTTCTTTCAAAAATAGCTAAACAATTAGCCGTTTTTGTTTTAGTATAAGACCACCCATCCACCCACATAAGATTCTAGCAAAATTGATATGACTTTTTGTTTTTATATTTCTTATTCGATTCGTTCATATAACAAGAATTCCTTAGCATCTTTTTTTGTTTTGTTTTTGTTTTATAACTAAAATCGATCATATAATTTGACATGCACTGGATATTTTTGCTGTGTGGATAAGAAAGAGAGAGAGAGAGGTATTTTCTCTTTTAGCTTTTTTTTCCATTCTTGTTAAGAAGATTAGCCATATCAAAAAAAAATATGTATGTATTTCTAATGTTAATATTCATATTTATATTATCAATGAATCTTCTCTCATCATTTCTTTTGCCATATGATATGATTATCGAAAGCTTCTTTCTTATTTTTTCTCATCAATCTTTTTTCTATTTTTTTCGTCCTGCTCTTATATAATCCATTTATATTCATCATTTTTGATTCATCATCTTAATATCGAATTTTATTATGATAAAAAAAAAGAAAGAAAAGAATGATAATTTTGAATGAATAGAATGTTTTTTGCATAAATATATCGCTTTGTTTGTTTGTTTGTTGAATTTGATATGAATCACATCGAATGCATTACGGATTGTTTTGATGATCAACATAGATGTCATTATTTATTTATAAAATAAAATAAAGCTTGTGAAACATCTTCATTTAGCAAATTGTTAATGTCTTTTTCTATCAATACTACCATGATTATGATGACAACAAATCAATTAAAATGTTTATTTCTTTAAAAAATTAACAAACTTCGAATTTGAAATAAGTTAAAAATTCATATTTGATGCTGGTATTATTTCATCAAACTGTTCAGGGGAAAAAAATGTCATTAATGTAAATTTAATGTTTGGCAAATGATCAATGGTATTCATTTCATTCCAGTCCATTCATTTATCATGTTAAGATGTTTCAAAAACAAAAATAATGTACAATTTCTTCTTCTGACATATCCTCTTTATATGGAAAGTGAGATTCATTTCTTTCTTTCGTTTTGTTTCGTTTCATTACTTTCATTTCTATCAATGAATTACATTTAGCGATGATAATCATAATTAATTTTACAATAATAATCTTTACATAGATGATTTTAATTGAAAAATGATTTTTTTGTTTCATTTTACATTCACAGCATCTCTCATATCACCTTGTATCACTCACATCATTTCTGGCCAATCTTTATTCGGCTTTTTTTTGGCATTTTTCAATGATGCTTCTCAATGATGATGATGTTTTCTTCTTTTTAAAAACGAAGAAATAAATGCAAGCTACATTTGTATCCAATAATATAAATGATATGTGGTGGTTATTAATCACAATTTTTCACTTTGTACAAATTTTCTATAGTTCATCATATTTTATATTTTTTTTTAATATTTCTTTTTCTTTTTCTTTTTTTGTTCAAAACCATTTACATGTCACATTTATTTTGTGGCCATATCATTTGTAATTTTGTTTCTATAACATCTTTTTTTTCTTCTTGCTTCGGTATGTTTATTGAATTGAAAAACTTGATGCAAGGGAAAATTGATACATACTTATCTTATGTGTGATAGGTGATGTTTTTTTCTTCTTTTTCTTATTTGATATTTGCATCGCAAACGACATATAAGTTCATCTATATCTTTTTGGATGCACTCAAAAAGTCTAGCCGATTCGTGATATGAATTTTTCTTTTTCTTTTTTTTATGTCGAGCACTCACCATTTTTTTTTTCTACTAACCAATGATGAATGTCTTTTTTTTCTTGTGTGACATATTTGATAATCGAATCATAATAATTTCTATAAGTATGTATCACCAAAAAATTTTCAATGTTTGACATTTTGGAAATAAAAGTCAACCGATTTTTTTTTCTTCATTCATTCGTTATTTATGACAATTGAAATAGTTCAGGGTTAGGGTCGATGGTAAACAATAATCATAATTTCTTTTTGCCATTTCAACCATTTGTGATCTAATCTTTCATTTATCATATCATGATGTCCAATTTGGTGGTTGAGGTGATTTGTCCATATTACAGTATTATCTGTACTGTTGTCGTTGTCGTTGTTTTTTTCTTCGGTTGATCTTAAGCACCCGAATATACAATTTCCTTTATTTCGGGATTGACTTTTATCAAATGACATGCATTTTATATTATTTTTTTTGACAAGCTAAATGTCAATTGTGTAGCGAACAAAAAAAACAACAACATGAATCCAAATATAAATCGCGTATTTATTTCTTTTCTTTTCTGGTTTAGTTTTTTAAATACATCGAAATTTTATCTGTGGCCATGTGTTTTAGTCATTTATTATTATTATTATTATTACAAAAACTCGAAACAATTTGAACAGCAAAAAAAGATTGAAGAGAATTTTTTTTATTTTTAACAAACAAAACAAAAAAAAACCTAAAACAAGATATTTGTCGTATATCTTGAATGTTTTTTGTTTTTGTTTTTTGGTTCGGTCTTGAATAACGTTGACATTTTTGTTTTCTTCATTCAAAGATCACCATAATGGATGTCTTGAATCCTAAAAAAAAGAAAAAATAAAGGAAGAGAAAATAAAACATGACATGTTTTATATGTTGTCGATGGATAATCTAGATTCTTTCTTCCTCTATCTCTCTCTTTCTCTCTTCTTTATTCAGTCGTTTTCCAGATTTTCATCATGTTTGTTCATAGTAATGGAAAGAACTTGGAATGTGTCATTTCTTTTTTTTTTACTTTATACTTTATTCACTGTTTTGAAATTCTTATCTAAATTGAATGTTGTATGATGATGATGATGAAACGAGACTAAAAAGTTGTCTCGTTGTTGCTCAGTTTATCAACGAATTTGTAATTAATATCCTATGTATGTAATGTATTTTTTGTTGTTGTTGATTGGAGATTTGTTATTTAATGGTCATCAATCGGTTTAATATTTGAAAGATAAAAATATTGTCATCATTGCATTTCTTTTTTCCAATGATGAGATGATTGAAGTAGAAAAAAAAACAAACAAACATATCTATGTTTTCCGAAAAAACCCCTTACATGCAATGATAATTATCATCTTAATTTTTTTTGTTTCTTGCTTAAAATATTTCAATGACATTAAACTTGAACAACAAGTTGTTCCACAATTATACAATTATTACGAAATATATGTGTGTAGTTTGAAGAAATTTGACAATTGTGACACATGAACTCTTCAGGTGTGTGTTTGTGTGTTAATCCAACAGGTTAATTTTTTTTT